TCGAACATATATATGCGAATTACTTCATACCAACAATAGAGATTTAACCCAAATCATAAATGGCTAAAGGTAAAGCCTAGAGGACGAATCGAAAAAAAGGAAGTGACACAATCACTGAACAGCAGAAGCAAATCATCGGAGGAAAATCAATCAAACCATAGAAAAATCCTTCACTGGTCTAAATCAAATCAAAGTCGATACAGTGAATCAGAAACACAAGTACGAATTTACAGATTAACCCCATCGATTTAGGTACAAAAATAGAAATAGAAATGTTTACATACACGATATACACTTTGGTCGCCATCGAAGTAGTATGTCTATGGTTGGATCTTTGAAGCTTAACTTTCTGAATTTTTTTAGGATTTAGATATTCAACGATCCGAAAATGCAGAAACCATATTTATAGAGAGGGTCGAAGATGATCTGGATTCTTTATCCTTTTTCCAAGCTGTTTTTTTAATTTCAGAAACTTTTAATTCACTCAAATTCAACACCCTAAACTTTTAGTCAAATTAAATTTCACCCCATATAATATTTTAAAAGAGATTGATTATATTTATAGTACTAAAACCAAATTAAACTATTGTCAAATATTTAACCTTCGATCATCATGCGATATTAGCTTTAATAAGTAATATCGCTAAACTTCATAACTGAAATTTAAAAAGAAAAAATTGGAAAATGGAACAATATGAGTTTCTAAAATAAATAAATAAACACTTTATTTAATTTAAAAAGATGACAAAAACTGTAACTAAATTTGTATAAATTTAAACATTGTAAAGAGAAATTACGAAGAAATTGCGTTATCACAGTTTTGGTAAAACTACTTGTCAAGTCATTTTTTATTCAGGTGATTATTATCTAAAATTGTAAGAAATAAAACTAGTGGGGCGAATTTGAGTTTATTGGATAATATAGGGAGTAGACGTGGTCAATTTTTAAAACGCCGTCGTTCATCACCAGGCTTTGGTATTGGACAGGAAAAAAAGAAAGGTGGAGTTGGTGCGGGAAAATTAAAAATGATTGAAATAACATAATAATGATGATATGTTGCTGTCACGCTCATCATCATCATGTTCGTTTTCCCTCAAAATTGCATTTTACATTTAAAGAAAACAAATATTGCTTTCTGCTTACTTGATTTCTCTAGAAGATGTCTTTTCAAAACAAGAATTATGGTGTTTATCTATTCAATTTTTCATATGATTATTATTAAGTAACCAGTCAATCTTAAACAAATGTTAAACTTGACTAATTGTTATCATTTATTTAAATCCTAAATCCTAATGCCGTCCGTGAATTTTTTTATTTTATTTTTTTCTGTCGGTCAACTACAGCTCTTAACATGAAGTGTTAGTGACTAGCATGTTTAAATTAACAGAATAA